TTGTTAAAGATGTGAAACATTTCTGCACAAAGACACATTCATAGCGATCACCATTAAAAAAGTGGTAGGGATGTAGCTCAGTGGTAGAGCCTGCCTGGGGGGAAAAAAACAACATTAAAGTGAAACCCACACAACTTTATTCCTGGTTGGGATCCAGCCATAAACTAATATCTGGCAGAAGCATTATTTTTCATTCAAATACCCTGTTTCTATAAGTGGCACTTGCCTATATCAGAGCAAATGCCTTTTTCCTTTTAAAAACTCAATAATTCCTGATATCTTTAATGGAGATTAAATTAAATTAATACCATCAGCTTTGTTTTTCATGCAGTGCACATTTTCAACATTTATTTTGAAGTGGTTGAAAGTCTGCAAAACTCAGGGCTTTGAAATGGTCTGGGGTTTCTGGGTTAACTTCTATATTAATTTAAGCTATGAACATGATTAGGAATTAAATCTACTGCCAAACACACACACACATACACACACTCAGAAATCCGAGGTACATTTGGATATATATATTTCTATGCAAAAGGAGCCCTTCATTATTATGGTGGGTTGTAAAATCACCCCATTTTTACTATTTAGTGTGTGTGTGGTGCTGGCGATTGAACCCAGGGCCTTGTGCATTCGAGGCAAGCACTGTCCAATTGAGCTATATCCCCAGCACCTAGTTAGATTTTTATGAAGTTCAGCATTTGAATTTTATGCACCCTATTAATCAGCAACTTACCTTTCTTAAAATCATGAATGTAATGCATTCCACTATTATTCTGTATGAAAGAAATAACAAAAAAAAAAATCATCCCTAAAGACTCACTTGTTTTGAGAAGCAGTTTGATGTAACTCTTGACGTGCCTGACCCATGCACTCTCAGTCCCAGGATACTGTGACTCTGAGCTGATACTAATACTGTGATTTCAAGATGTTCCACATTCTTGAAAAAGGAGAGAGTTCGCCTCTGCTCACCTGGGTCCTTGTTCTGGGATGTACTTCAGGAAAGCCTCAGTCATTTTGATTTATGCTCGGCATTTTTATTTATGGGCATATGCCATGCATAGGGCATTGTGCTGAGATCTTTGACCTTGGCTCTTTGATGTCAATCTCTTTTTATCTCCTTTCTACTCATTAAGAAACTGAAGCTCAGAGAAGTTAAAAACCCATCCAAGATCACACAGCAACTAAGCAGCAGTGACAGGTAGACCGCCTCTGGCTGCTCTCTCAATCACCCCACTCTGGCAATAAGCTGAGCAGTCTCAGAATCGAACGCTCTAGTGTTTGGAAGTCTAAAAAGGTATCTGCAAAGAAGAGGAGCAAAGAGGAAGATCTGAAGCAGCCAGGCAGATCTGCCCTCGCTACACAGCAAAACTCAAGTCCTGGGGTAGAGAGATGAGAGAGAGCAGCAGAGTCCCCAGGAGAGCCACACACGCCCCAGGCAAAGCCTGAGAACTAAGCTGCACCTGCTACTTTGACTGAACTGCTATCTGCACATCCTTCCCAGGTTCCTCCTCTCGACCTCCTTTGCTGACTGCCTGGAATCCCTTATCGGCACACTGTTCCCAGCCCTGAGCCTTACGCCCATCCCCAGGTCTGAGGTTCAATGCACTCGGCAGCATGTCCAAAGTGCAACCAACTGTAATCAACCTGTAGCCTCCACAGGTAACTGAACGCCGTGACTTCTCCCGGCTGTGTCAATCGTCGAGGATGTGAGCACCTAAATCCCTTCCCAGAAGTTGAGTTAGTGGAGTGGAGGACAGGATGTGGGTTTTGGAGTCAGATCGGGACTTAAATCGAGATCTGAATTTATGAGCTATTTGACTTGTCTGATCCTCCTTGAGCTGAGTCTCCTTTTCTTTATTGTGAAAATGAGAATAATAAGATCTACTTCTTGGGGTCAATGTGTAGATCAACACATGACAAATAAGAAAGCCCAGGGATGCATATTTCTTTTTTTCCTTGCTCTTTAGCCTGTTCCTCTTTTCTACCACAGTGTTTTGGCTTTTCGGTGGGGGATCCCTGCTCTCTCCTTAGTCTGTGTTTCTTTGGGCCATTCTAATTTTTGTTTGGCTTAAGCCAAGTCAGGCCAATTAGATTAACAGTGATTGGCTGAGCGATGAGCACATGACTAAGTCAGAGCCAATGAGAATTGGCTCCTGGTACCATTGGGCCATTCTGTTCCTGGATTGCTGAGTCCAGGATGCAAGTTGAATGCTATGGCTGCCATCTTGCCACAATGGAAGGGGAACTTCATGGAGAACATAGAAGCAAATAGAGATGATAAAGGGAGGGAGAGAGTATGGTTCTATGCTGGGTTTCTGTTCTCACGACTAAAAGGCTCAGGGGTCACTCCAGTTGAACTGGGCTAACTGGGCTGCGCAAAACTACCACACGAGAGACATAAATACCTTTTTCTTTGGGGTCGCTGTGACGGCTCCTCTGACCTTAAGGGTCCGCAGGAAGAGAGAGCGCGAGAGCACGTGCTGACCCCCTTTTATTGAGGAGAAGCTATTCAAATGAGGCAAGGGGTCAGGTTTCAGGGGGCTGAGTCTGTCTTCATGATGTCCACTGTCAGCAGGTTGACTGACACCTGGGTAGGCCACGCCCAAGGGCACAGTAAGAGAAGGGGACGCACACAAGGCACTTCCATGGAAGATTCTATCCTAAACAGGGCAAGGGGTTATATTACAAAGGAACAGGTGAGCGTAGCTTCACCCATGGGGATGTAGCAAGACACCCATGCATGAGACACTGACCCTCGAACCCAAGAAGTGTGGGGAAAGCTCTGTTACTTTTCTGTGACTGAGTGCCTCAGCACCCAGCCGGGGAGTGTGACTCAGTCAAGTGCAAGGTTGGTCTCCCACAGTTCTAGATAACTTGGGACACTTAGATACAGCTGTAACAGTTTGAACAACTCTAACTTTTTGGATGCCAGAGGTGATAAATTCTCTTTGGCTTTATCCTCTGTGGCTCCCATTAGGGGCTGAAATGTGTCTGCCACCCCCCCCCACCTCAATTCACAATGAAGCCTTAACCTTCAGAATGTGAAGTTTTGGAGATAAGGCCTTTAAAGAGAGGATTAAGTTAAGATGGTCCATCAGGTTGGGCCTGGTGTCCTTGTAAGAGGAATTGGACACAGAGAGACCCTGGGGAGCTGAGCAGGAGAAAGGCCATGTGAGGACACAGTAAGAAGGACCATGTGCAAACCCAGGAGGACTCAAAAGAAACCAAAATGGCCCACACCTTAGTCTTGGACTTTTAGTCTCCAGAATTGAGAGAAAGTGCATTTCTGTTGCCTTTGCTATCTAAACTGTGATATTTTGTATGGCATCCCTAGTCAACCAACACGGCAACCCAGAGGATCCTGATGGATACAGCTTTCCCTTCTTGCCATCTGTAGGGAGAATTATAAGTGGAAACTTTGGGGTACTGGATATGAACACACCACAAGTTTCAGAAATGGGAAACACCAGGTGTTGTCTCACCTCTGACGGTCATCTGCCAGATTCCCAGCTCCACTCACCCCCGGCCTTTTGGAATATAACTCTTCAGACATTGAGATCTTACCACCCCAACAAAACACTGGTAGGTCCAGAGCCCTGTCCAAGCCCAGCCTCCATCCTGAGAGGCAGTGAGGCCATCCTCCTTCTACCCCACCACAGCCTCCACAATGGCAAGTCCACAGTGTTTTGGCTTAGATGTGGTGTCCCCCAAAAGCTCTTGTGTGAGACAATGCAAGATGGTTTGGAGAAATGGTTGGGTTATAGCCTTAACCCAATCTGTGAATTAATCCCTGATGGGATTAATTGGGTGGTAGCTGGAAGCAAGTGGGGTGTGGCTGGAGGAGGTGGTTCATTGAGGGTGTGACTATGGGGTATATATTTTCTATCTGGTGAGGGAGTCTCGTTCTCTCTCTGCTTTCTGATCATCATGTGAGCAGCTTCCCTCTGCCACACTCTCCCACCTCACCTGGATGTTCTGCCTCACCTTGAGCCTGAGGAATGGAGCCAATCTTCCATGGACTAAGACCTCTGAAACTGTGAGCCTCTGAATAAATCTTTCCTCCTTTACAGTTGTTCTGGTCAGGTTCTTTAGTCACAGAAGCCAAAATGCTGACTAAAACACACAGAAACCAGTTCTAGAGGTCTTTCCACCCAACAAATATTAATGAGCATCTGTTATGTGAAGCTCATGATGGGCACTGGGGATGCCAGGGCAGGATTAAGGTCAGATCCAGGTGGGAGCGCCTCAACAGTTAAGGTGGACCGTGAACAAAACAGTCCAGAAACAGACCCATACACACGGCCTGCTTGGTCTATTTAAAACAAGAAAAAGAAAAAAACATTGTGAACCTGCAGAACAATGGGGGAAGGATAGTTTGTTGAATAAGGATGCTGGGTAAATATCAATATGGAATATAAAAAGCAAGAAATATGACTCTTATGTTATGCCATACACAAAAATCACCTCCAACTAGACTTCAGATCTACAAAGAAAAGCAGAACAATGAAGCTTTTAATAATAAGAAATAATAAGAAATTAATAAAATAAATAATAATAAAATGATAATTTTAATAAGAGTAACAGTGACAATAAAAGAAGAGATTGGTGAACTTAACCATAAAATTAAGAGTTTCACTCAAGCAAAGGGCTGGGGGTGCTGCTCAGTGGTAGAGCATTTGCTTAGCATGCACAAAGCCCTGGGTTTGATCCCCAGCACTGCAATTTCACACACACACACAATTTAATTTTAAAAGTGAGATTATTTAAAAATACCAGCAAGAGAGTACACAGCAATCACCAGCAGAGGGTTTGTATTCAGAATAAAAAAACAGTTTAAAAAAAGGCAAACACAAAAGAAAAACGGGCCAGGCATGGTGGTGCACACCTGTAATCCCAGCAACTTGGCAGGCTGAGGCAGGAGGGTCGCAAGTTCAAAGCCAGCCTCAGCAACTTAGGAAGGTTCTAAGTAACTCAATGAGATTTTGTCTCTAAATAAAATATCAAAAAATGGCTGGGGATGTGGCTTAGTGGTTGAGTGCCTCTGGGTTCAATGCCCAGTACCAAAAAAGAAAGAAGAAAAACAAAACATGGGCAGACACTTCAAGCAGCACTTCCGAAAGAAGATTCCAAAGAGACAATAGATATATGGAAATGTTGATGGATTACATCATCTTGGGAAGATGAAAACTAAGGTCAGAATGAGTTACCAAAATCTACCTAGAAAACCTCATGTCAGTGAGGTGTGAGCAGCAAGGACTCTTGAGCACTGCAGGTGGGGGAAAATTTGAAAGAAAAGAAAAAAATGTCTATCATAGGAATATACTTTGACCTGAAAAAATCCATTCCTATATTTAAAAGAAATATATATGCAAGAATACCGACATGGACCACAGTATTGACAGGGGCACTCATCATGAGATCCAAAAGCTGGGATCTACCCAGGTGTCCATCAACAATGGACCAGTTGATAAATCACGGTGTGTTCCTACCCCAGAGTATGATCCTGAAATGGATGTAAATGACTTATAACTACGCCTGGTGACACGGGTAAAGCTCACAGACGTGAAGTTCCACGAAAGAGGCCAGAGGCAGAGAGAATCTGCCTTATGATCCCATGTTTCTCTAGTTCAGAAATAGACAAAGCTAACTGCAGGGCTACAAGTCGAGAGAGTTGTTACTAGGGGGCAAGAAGAGCCAGAATTTAAAGAGGCCCGGTGTGTAGAGGGGTTCTAGATGCTGGTATTTTCTGGGCAGAAACACACAAGTGTTCACTGCATAATGACTTATTGCACCGTGGCATTTTATACTGTAGGTTTTTGTACACACCATTCTTTACAGTATTTTAAAATATATATGTCTGTATATTACGTATGTGTTTATAAAGGCACATACACACACACACACACACACACACACACACACACACAGGTCCATGGTACCAGCCAGTTCACAGTCAAGTTGTAGAAACAGAAAAGTCAACAAGTGTCACTGGAACAGTGAAATCAATGCTCCCATGAGCCAGGCTGCCTGGTTTCCCATCCCAGCTCTGCCATTGCCTAGTCGTCAGGTGAGCACAAGTGACCGTGACTCTCTCAGCCTTATTCTGTTGTATAAAATGGGATGACAACCATCCCTGCCTCGTGGGATTGCTGAGAGGAATAAGTGAGTAATACAGATAATACAGCTGGAATCTGCTCTGTCTACAGGGGGCAATGGATGGAGGTTTTTGTTGGTGGACATTATTGTCACTGTCGGTACTCCCTCACTATTGCTACCACCACTATTAGTGCCACCTCTACTCCAACCACCAGGAGAGGTCATGGAGGGGCACACGACCCCCACAAAGGACAGTGGAGTTTCATCTGTTCCATTTGCTCTTCACTGCTCTCCAGCCAGCTGGTGTACCCAAGAAGAGGGTTGCTGTCCCCGCTCTTCCTCCAGGGTCCTGCAATCAAGCACAGCAATCAATTCATCACCACTCTTTCCTCAGAGGCAGGCAAAGTCCACGTTTGAGCCACTATTGACATTCACATTACCACGCCAGTGCCCTGAACGTAGTAGGTGCTCAGTAAGTGTTTATTGCATCAAGGGAAACTAAGAGATGAGAATAAATGAGAACTCGAGTGAGCGGAGCCAACTGAAAAGTAGGCAGGAGACCCACGTGCAGAACAAGAGAAACGGAGGTACCCATTGTCCTTTGGCCTCCTTTTCTCTCCTTGTGGCCAGGACCTTGGTTCTTCCCTGTTCCTCATCCTGCTCAAACCTGCTGCTGCTCACCAGCCCCAGAGGTTACGTTGTGATTCGCTAAGCCACCTACTGCTCAGATGACAATGTGAGGGAGCCGCTATTTATCTTTGTTACTGCTGCAAGTGTCCAAGAAAAAACAGCTTCGAAGATCACGTCTGTTGGGATAACCTATTGATTTGTGTCACAGTTCTCCCAATCCCCATTTTATTGTTGTTCAAGACGGGGTCAGAGGAGGTCAAAAATAACTCTTGCCAATGGAGGCAACAGACTGAGGGATTCTAACAGGAATTCTAAATTCTCTAAAAGGTGTGGGCTGGGGAAGTAATGGAAGACCGAGGTGTCCCAGTGCCAAATCAGAGGCTGAGGGCAGGAAGGGTCGGAATGAAATCTGCAATTTCAAGCTTAGGGAGGAAAGAAAAATAAAATTAACTAGGGAGCTAGAATAGATTACAAGTTAGTACTAACTGCCAGTCCAAACTTCTAGAAGGTTTTTAAAAATCAGTCTTTCATACTGACCAAATCAGTTTGCTGAACCTGGTCTATTAGCCAATTATTCTGTGATCATTGAAATGGTCAGCACTTCGTATTTATGAATGCCAAATCATTGGCCAGATATTTCATCATAGCAGGGTTTGGCAAACTGTGATCAAATTCAACCACTGTTTTGTTTTAATTCTAATTTGTTCTTTTTAGTATGCATGGCAGTAGAGTCTATTTTGACCTACATGCATAGAGTATAGCATCCCATTCTTGTGGTTGAACATGATGTGGAGTTACACTGATCATGTATTCATTATGTGAACATAGGAAAGTTATGTCCGATTCATTCTTCTGTCTTTCCCATTCCCATATGTCCCACTGGTTGTTTTAATAAATAAAGTTTTGTTGGAACGCAGTGATGCCCATGTTCATGTGTTGGTCTCTGCCTGTTTTGCTCTGATGGTAGAGTTGATGAATGATAACTCAGATCGCTGGGCCTGAGAAGCCTTCAGTACATCGTATCTGGCCTGTTACAGAAAACATTTCCAAACCCATGATCTACAGGCTCTCAGCTAATGCTCACATCCCCATTTTTCTGTGAGGAAGATTTAACATACAGGGATTAGTAACTTGCTCAGCATCTGGTGCTGGATTTGAATACAGATCTGCATAATGCAAAACATTTTCCTGAGATGTGTGTTACTTTCCAAAGGAGACACACTATGATCATTACTAAAATTATGGTCTACACAAGTCAAACATCTCTGCAGGGCATAACTCTCCATACAAGTCAAATTTGGTTCAAGGACTGTTCAAATCCTACTGTTTCCCTAAAACATCATTCAGTCGAGTTGTTTTTGAGGTTAAGATACCATCCTCGATTTAGAAATCCTTTGGTTCTACTGCAATTTCAGGGTAATGGCTCTTGTTGTAGCATCAACTTACAGTTCCTGACCTCTTGATGGTATATAATTCCTCCTTCCTCTTGACCAACACTGACCAATTGGATGGGGACAAGTAAAGGTAAAGTAGAGGCATGAAAACTCAATGCCAAGTGCCATGTTTTTGGATGTGTGTCCTAAACTTCATGGGTTAGAAACTTAATCCCAAACATATATATTGATGATATCTGGGGATGTGGCGGGGTCTGTGGAAAATTATTGGAATTAGATAAGATCATCAGGGTTTCCATGATGGGACTGGTGGCTGTAACAGAGGAAGAGAGACCTGAGCTAACATGATGCCCTCCGCCATGTTAAGCTGTAGCAGGAAGCACTCCCCAGAAGCTCGTGGGTGCTGACACCATGCTCCCAAATTCTAGAGTCATTATCTAAATAGACCTCTTTGAATTCCTTTGTCTAAAGTATTTGGTTATAGTAACAGAAAACAGATAAGATGTCAAGGTATATAATCTATAGTGATTTGGGGAGGAAGCCTTCGTGTTCTGTCTTCTTTCATCTTCAATCCCTTCCCTGGAGATTGTCATTCCCTAAGACATTGGGCACGTCTGATACAACATTCGGGCTGAGGGAGGTGTGAGATTGTAGAAATATTCAGAATTCAATGCTTTCCAAAGAATCTCTGATTCTTTCTATAATTCACAGGGGGAAAACTCACTGCAGTCAGGATAAAAGAGGAAATAGGCTCTTGATTTCAGGAGAAAAGAGTGATTTGGTGGGACGGAGGAGGCAAATACTGAAGGGCCCACAAAGAACAGAAAACTAAATCAGCATCTTGAGAGAGATTGTTTAAGGAGAATTGGACAGTGCCCAGACACGTGATCTTTGAATAGCTACTGGTTCCTAAGGACGAAGGGAAGACCCTGTACCCAGGTGTTGTGAAGCTCTGCAATTTTGGAACTGTGGTGTACCTTGTTGTAAGTAAGCCTGACAAGAGTGTGGTCATGGAGCTTGGAAAGAGTAGTGCCTGGAAATTACAGAAGGCAGAGAAAAAAGAGCCATGAAGGTATTTCATTGGGTAAAATGGAATAAAATCCACCCAAACAAATGATGGCAGTCTCCCCAACACTACCAATCCTCATTCTGAAGCAGAGGAGCTTCAGGAATGTGACTATACAGAGTCAGCCTGGGGACTCCCAGACACACTGACCTTCCTTGTCTTTGGAGTGGGGCGTCCATCCCAGGTTAAACCCACTCTCTTTCCCCCATTTGGAGCAATCTCTTGGATGATGCTGAAACTGGGCATCCCTTCCCCTCTCCTCATGAACTGAGGAGGGGCATGGATGTGTGACCATGTGGACACCTCACCCTTTCACACAGCTGCCCTACACAGGGGCGCTTGCTGGAGAGCAGGCCTAGCTTCAGGCCCACCTCTGCCTCTATAAAGATCCCAGAGAAAGTTTAGTTATAGGAATGGGAAACCCAGGGAAGCCCAGGCCTGGACAGAACCCTGAAACTGATCAACGCACAAGGAGAGACGAAGAGATGGAAGGATGAGACCACCACCAGAAAAAAAAAAAAAATCTCAATTTACTTTGTTTCTTTAAGCTTCCAACCTTACCACTGAAGGGAAATGAGAAAAATACAAAGATGGAAGATGACACGCGTCCCTAGTGTCCAACCGAGCCTTGTTTCCCCGCGCCTTGGAGACATCCCTTTCCAATGGGAGAAGTAACCCTCCTGCATCATTGAAAGGCTGCTGGGGGGTGGGGGGCACCTCTGGTCTCGGTAGAGGCACCTCAGGAGTTAACGGGGTATTTATTTACAGGTTAAAGAGGCAAGCGCCGAGTGAGCGGGTGCCGAGGCATGCTGAGCAGCGGCTAACAAGACGCTGTCTCCAGCGGCATTCTGGGCGATTACTCCCGAGCACCCAGCCATACCAAAATCAATAAACAATTTCAGCGCAGCCCAGGGAACTTTGCCACACTTAATAAAAGTCTCCAGCTGCAGTTATGGCTTCATTTCACCTTAACGTCTTCTTTAACTGTCCCTTCTTTTCAAGATCAATTAGAGGTACATGCAAAGAGAATAAAGAAATACGCACGTACAGGCGCGCACACACAAACGCACACACACCATAAGCAAACAAGGTCAGAACTAGTTATGTGGAGGTGGGGGCTCTCCCCTCCTCATTCATGATTTCCATTTTAAGATGATCAGCTGTGAATAAGTCTGGGGACAGAGTTGGGGCAGAGGAATGGGTTTATTGGAGAAAGGAAGGAGACCAAGGTAAGGGACTGACTGTATATTTCCTAAGTGCATATAACTTATCCAAGGAGAAAGGCACCCTTACTCCAAAGGTTTCCAAGGAGATTGTCCTCTCTGAAAATCATCTATGATTATTTTTTTATACCCCATAATATCCACTGAAGAACAGACAGGAAAGAGAGAGGAAATGAGCCCCAAATTTGTTCATATTATCATTAGTGCCTTCAGTTAAAGAGTTGAGAGATGCTGCCTAAGGTAGGTAGGTTGGAGGGAACAGAGAAACCGTCCAATCTGTTAGTTAAGGTGGTGTGTGTTGTTGGGTTGTTTGTGTGTTTACTCATCTCTGTCCATTAGAAGCCCAACTGAACACTGGTTCTGGAACAGGGACAAGTACTTACTTAACAGACAAGTGTCTCAGCCATTTCTCAGGCCTGATCAAATATGTGACAAAACTAAAGAAAACTTGGCTTAATTTTCTCAAAATGGCCCCAGGGTGTGTTCCATCCAGCACATCTGGAAGTTCATGATGTACGCATGCCTCTGTGTGTGCAAAGCCTTCCCTCGTGCTGTAGAAAATGACTGGCTTCTGAGAGGTGAACTGCTTACCCTTTTAGGAAGTCAATAACACTAATTAATTCATCATCTTTCTTGGATTCTTGGTCACTAAAGTGCAGTTAGAAACAAATCGAAAACTCCATCGGCAAGGAGCATCAAGACCTTCTGCGAGCATCTTGACAAAAACAAAAAGTCGCTCAGATGCCGGGGATGGAGCTCGTACTGAAGCATTTTAGGGAGCGTGGAAACGGTGGCACCAGGTCCCCTTCCTTCCCTTTTCTCCAACCATAACTAACCCTAGAACGGTGAGCTCCGAAGAGCAGTCAATGGGCGCTCTCCTACAGATAGAAAAGGGCTTTTGGAGGATGAGACATGGCTCTCATGATTTGTTTGTTGTTGTTGTTGTTTATATTGAAACACATATCTGCACATTTTATGGGGTACAGTATAATAACTTGATATGTTTATACAACGTATAATGATCAGAGCAGGGGTTAGAACCTCAAACACCTCAGTCATTATCTTGATATGCTAAGGACATTCATATTCCCTTTTCCTAGATATTTTGGAATCTATCATAGATTATTATAGTCAAAAGTTACTCTATTGTGCTGTGAGAAACCAGAAGTAGCCCTCCTCTCTAACCCCGCTTTGGTGCCCTTATCCTGCCTCTCCCCCCACGCCCATTGCTTAATGATCTCCCCTTTCTTTAGAATGCAAAGGCTCCCTCACCACTGGGCAGAGGGGATGTGCACCTGGAGAGTAAGAAGGCTTTTAGGAAGGCTCATGGTCCCAGAATCCTCTCTGCCCCGAGTGTCGGTCCACCTGTGCTCACGCTCTGAGCCCAGTCCCGCTCCCACATTCCAAGGACTGACCCCCTCATCATGGTAGCCTCGTCCTCTCCACAATTCTCTGCCATCTTTCTCCAACTCCAAACATTCTCATTCCCATCTGCCTTCCCAGGAGGCTCTCACACTCATCAAGTACCTTTCAATCAAGCCTTGGAGAGCCCAGGGCCTTCGGGAGGGGAGAGGACAAAGTTCACACTCCCCCCTGCCAGTGTAGAAACTGGTTCTGCCTCCAAGTTCTCTGTATGAGAAATAAGAATAAGAGTAATGATGAGGTATAAAGAATCATGATGAGGTATCTGACTATTTCTAATGTCATGACAACAGGTTGAAATGCCAAAAAAACAGAGTTTGATAGACTGGTGTTTAGTAGTTTAGAGTGAAGAATAAAGACATACCAACTGCAGAAATGAAAAAGACTTTCTAAATTTGTCCATATTTGTTCCAAGACCAAACTAGATATGTCAACAAGTCAATCAGAGCGGCCCCTGCACTGGGCATTTCCTCAGGTTCCGGTGGCCTTCTATTGCTTACTAGGTGTGACAGGTTCATGACACCTACTTAACACATCAGGCAGGAAATCCTAAACCTACTGATAGCTAACATAGAACAAGCCACAGGTACATCTACCTTTCTAAAACCTAGTCAATAAACACATTTGTAAAAATATTTCACAAAATGAAGACAGATCCACAGGCTCCGGTAGAAAAACACAACTACAAAGGTGTGTGTTTGTGTGTCTTCCTCATCTCTCTATCCTATTTAATATTTTCCTGGTGAGCACAGAGGGAGAGGCTCATGTCTAATTCTGTCTTTTGAAATTCTGCAGGAGCTCAGGATGTGCAACTATCTTTATAAGCAACCTTCACAAGCAGAGACGCACGCGTTTAAAACATAATCAACTGGGAATCTGGTTAGAGAAATGCTTAGCTGTCCAGGACTAAGAAAGGCAAAGAGGAGATTAATGCAAAATCTATTAAGTTGCTGAACATGAGAGGCAATTGTACACCTGGGTGTCCGAAGGCCTCCCTATTTTGAGAAATACGTAAGGCTTGTACTACAATAAACCTTCAAGTGGTGATTCAAATTTTTATTCACCAAATTCACAGATAACAAGATCTGTTCTTTGGATGTTTTCTGATCTCTCTATGGTTCTGTACATCATGCAGAGCTTTGAAATATATATTTGGAACCAAGCAACTTACCTAGACTCTGACTTCAGTTATAAATCAATTCCAGGCTTCCTAATTTTTTAGGCAATTATCTGGAAAATAAATGTATCCATAAAAGGTGATCAAAAGTCTTTTAGCAGTAAAAGAGACTAAAAATAAATAGACAATGAACTGGCCTGGCCTCTAACAACCCAAGCCACCTCTAACAGTTACCCTCACACACACTCCACTATGACATATATGGTAATAGATCACCCCACAGCCTACCCTTAACCAAACATTTGGCTGCAAATACTCTGTGGCCTGCACAATGTGGCAAGCACTTTGCTCTGTGACTGCTCCTCAGGGATGTGTCCTTTGAGCTCACCCCATTGAACCCAAGGGTACTGGAGAATTTAAACCAGCCTGCGCAAAGAGATGGAGGACCTCTACTGGTCTCTTACTCTGTTGGCATAGGACTCTGATTCTCTGTCACACTGTTTAGTCTCCTGTTGGGTCAAGAATTAGTAAGACTCCTTGCTTGGTTTTTCAGGGCAAAGGATGAGCAACTATTAAGACTTTTTCCCCATATGACTACAGGGTTCATACTCATAACATCCTGAGAGGGCTATTAAGAATTAGAGAATTTCATATTCATAAGCTGACATTAGCCCACTCTCAGAGTTCACTGGGGACTTCTAGCCCAGGGTCTGCTAAGCCATCTGGCATCTGCACAGTCCTTGGCCACAGGCACAGCAGCTCCTGAACACACTTGCACGGAATCAGGACTCCTGCTGCTTTCAAGAAGGACAATTTATTATCAGTGCCCCATTAGTCACCGGTGTTGTCACGAGTCGCTCAGGGTTTTCAATGGTTGTCATTCTTTCCTTTAAATTATTAATTACTGTTGGTTTGGCTTCAAACATATCAAGTTAGTTTGAATCCTGTAATGTTTTCTGATACATGTCTGCAGTCTACTTTGAGTCTAGCTTTTTTCCAACTACTTACTCACAGACCTGTTCGTTCAGATGATCATAATCCACAGCCTTCATGATAAAAGAGATTTGGGAACTATACCTGCCCCTCCCCGACAATTTCCTTAGATAGAAACCCTGAACTTTTTTTTTTCCCCATTAGAAAAACTGGGAATAGTAAGAGGTTAGTTGAAGTCATGGATTTTGGACCTTTCCATAAGCACACAGTTTCCCAGATATTAATGGTTTTAATATCAGAAAAGTAATGTCTATGGGAGGTTGTATATTTCTTAACAGCATTGAATTTTTCCACGAGTCCAATCAAGATTGAAGTAGACTGCAGCACCTATTTTAGAGTCCTCCTGTGGTTTACAAAGAACCCCCAACATTGTCATGTTTTCTTTTGTAGAAATTCTGAAAGTTGTTTCTGGTTTTGAGAGACAGTTCACAGAAGAGCTGTGTTACTATCACTTCATAACCCAAGTTCTTTCCGGTGGTCAAATGGGGAAAAGCATTCAGGGAAAGGCAACTCACTGAGATAGAAATGACTCTAAGAAAATCAACACCACCTCTAAACCTTGGCCTGCCGGTCTTTGCTGGACTCTTTTTACACCAAAAATCTCTTTCTCTGTTCCAAACAGCTTACTATGGCTCATCCTTCCTCTTTTCCAGTACTATGGAAGAAGAATAACCCCATTCTTCATTATCCCCCACTTCACAAAGGGCTGTTTACATTTTGTCAAATGCATAAGAAAGACACAAGTTGTAGTAACCTTCAAAATTCAAACCAAAGGGAACTGAAGCAAACCGGTGGATGAACCATTGAGGAACCAGTCTCAGATGGGAATGGAGATCCCTGGTCACCACCCAGCAACCGCAGACCTTTTGGAATTTCAGCATCGCTGGCTTATGAGGGTTATATTGAATTCTATTATGTACAGCATGTACACACATGTATACATACATGTGCGTGCACACATGTATGTCATGTATAGACACACGTATTTATGTATACATGTATACATGTGAATCTATAATTGTCTACGGATGCATATGATGATATTATGATTATTTGTTATGAATCCATTCCATGCAAAGTAGGTTCTTTGAGTGAAGAAGGACAGGAGAATCAAGGAATGTAGGTGAGTAGAGACGCAAAGTAAATAAAAGGACAGCACCTGAAAAACCACATGGCAATATACATAACAAAAGTAAACACACTGGCCCTGTAAGTCATCAGTCCAGCCCCTAGGTATACATACACATACTCCCCAAGAGAATGCATAGACAGTTCAGAACAACACCACCTGTAATGCCCCAAACTGGGGGCTACTGTCCATCAACAGCACACTAACTATGTATATAGTGGTATGTTTATAAATGGGATGGTCCAGCTTAAGAAGAATGAACAAAGTACTGACACATACAACACATTGGATGAACCTCAAAAACAGTGAATGCAAGAAGCCAGACCAAAAGAGTACAGACTGTGTGATTCCTCTTAGGTGAAGTTTTAAAACGCTACACTGATGCATGTTCTGGAAATAAGGCTGGTGGTGATCTTGGCTGTTGACTGAAAGGGGACATGTAGAAGAATGGTGTCTGGGTGCTGGTTAGAGAAGTGTGCTACTCTGTGAACATTCATCAAGCTTAAATTTGAATTTTATGTATTTTTCTCTATGTTTGTCTTACTCCAGTAGAATAAATCATTGCCCTCCAGATTACAACAGAATCCAAGAAAATCAGTACAACGATAATTTTGACATAAATCTAAAAACTATCATCAGAGTCTTTGTGCTAATTAGGACATTTTCAGCTGCAAGTAACAAAAAGACCAACTCAGTTTATTCCAGAATATCTAAAGTTCAGAGATAGGGCAGGATTGGCTTATTCATGGTGTAACAAAAATCATAAAAGATCCTGGTTCTTCCTCTCTGTGGCTATCCATCCATCCTTGGGCCACTCTCTTTGTGTTTATAAAATGAAGCCACAACTCCAGAAATCATATCCACACAGGTAACATTAACTGGAACTGTATCTACCATAACGTCTTTTAAGTCTTTCCCAGAGTGCGATGCTCTTATCTAGCAGACATTTCCTCAGCATTCATTGGTCAGAACTATATCACGTGACCACTCTGTCACTAGTCATTGCCAAGGGGATCAGGGTCACTTTGAATGGCTCCAACTAATCAGGATTTTCCCTGAGTCAAAATAAGGGATGGATACTGAAACTAAACCTGGACTCTGCTAGCAGGTGCAAAGGAGCAAAGGCTACTGGATCTGCAATCACGGGAGCACAAAACACAATGGAGGTAGGGTGAACAGGGGAACATTTGGTTGAGATACTCAAAAATGATTTTGTTGAGCTGGGAAGTAATTTTAAGCTGGTGGACACAGATGTGAAAGTCTGAGGTGTGTCAGGCATAGTAAATATCAGGTTGGGTCTTTTTAGGGAAGATGTGGGAGATAATGTTGGATGGTTTTGGTCACTTAACAGGGCAATAAGCACTTGATTTAAGGTAACATAAAGTTACTGAGAGTTTCTTAGGAGGAATGTCACATGATGAAGAGTCTTGCAGCAGTGGTGTAAAGGTTTGTCTGATAATAATATATTTGTCATCTATTGCTGTGTAACCAATTATCTCCAAAAGTTAGTGCCTCACAACAACAAAGCTTTATTATGTTATAGTTTCTTCAAGTCAAGAATTTGGGAGTAGCTTACCTGGCGGTTCTATTTCATGGTCTTTCATGATGACATAGTCAAGATGTTTTCTGGGGTTGCAGTCCTCTGAAGGTGTGATTGGCACTAGAGGGTCCACATTGGAGGTTCTTCATTCACAGGGATGTTGACAAAAGATTTGAGCTGCTTGCTACATGAATCTCTCCACAGGGCTGCTTGAGCTTCCTCACAATGTGGTAGCTAGTTTCCTCTAGAGTTAGGAATCCTAGAGATGGGGAAAGAGGAAACTGCCATGACTTTCATGACCTCCTTTCTGAAGTGGTCAAGTACAATAGGGCAACTCACATTGGAATCCCAAGGGAGCAAATATTTAGACTTTTGGGGTGTACACATTCAGGTAAAATATTATTTCTGCCATATTCTAATCATTATAAGAGAATGAACAGGGGAACATTTGGTTGAGATACTCAAAAATAATTTTGTTGAGCTGGGAAATAATTTTAAGCTGGTGGACACAGATGTGAAAGTCTGAGGTGTGCCAGGCATAGTAAATAATGTGGAGAATTATAAGAGAATAATCAAGTAGATTATAAGAGAATAATCAAGTAGAGCCCACACTCAAGGAATGGAAATTGAGCCCTACCTCCAGAGGAAAAGGAGGAGAATCAAAGAATATGTGGACATACTTTTAAATCATGGCAGATGGATCCTGATGTCTTGCTTTCAACTTACTTGGTGCCTGTAGTAGGACCATAGAGGACAAAGCCTTCTGAGAACGTGAGATGTTTTTCACCTACAAAACCTCATAGCTACTTATTCCTTGTTGTCCCTCAACCCTCTTCAACTACTGACCAGTGGCCAGACTCTCTCTGGCCAAAATGAACGCTCACTAGCAAGAACTTTCATTTCAGGTGATAGTGTTGGCAAAGGAGATTTTGCCCAGAAAATTAACCTGTGTTGACACACCTATATTTGCCACATATAGATAATGTTTCTCTCTTTATTTTTCATAACATTATCAAGCATCTGAGAGGCACCACCTGGTTGATCTCAACACGTAGTATTTTTCCCAAATGTGAATTATGGGAAAATCAAATTGTTGTCTATATAAAATGTGCACACCCCAAAAGTCTAAATGTTTGATCCCTTGGGATTCCAATGTGAGTTGCCTAAGCCTTGCCCAGACAGATTTCTATTTTGAGTTTATAATAAAGCCAGAAGGCAAAAAAAACACTTTTGATTGGCTCAGGATTAAAAAAAAATGAGATGGAAACTCCCCAATGCACCACACTGGTTGTTTAATGTAGGATGGCTTAGGGAGAAAGGAAAGGGCATTCTCAAAGTGCTATTGCCCATACCAAGAGAGCCAGCACCACCCAGAAATCTGTAAGAAATGCACACTCTCAGGCCCCCCCAGAAATTCTGGGGCAGGCCCAGCTCTCTATGTTTGCAGAGTTTTTTCTAACAAGAGATTCTGATACGTGTTTAAGTTTGAGAACCACTGCTTTAGAAAAACTTTTCCCCCAATTCATTGCACGTAATTTGATAATATCTTGATAACGCAGAAGGGCTGGATGCTTTCACTGGTTCTTTTTCATGCACAAACACCATCACAGTATTTGCACAGAGAAGTGGGGACACAGGACACAGAACATAATGACACCAAAAACCACTCAGAAAGCACCAGAGCCCAGGTTCCCTAGTTCCAAGAAAGTGTAAAATGTCTGTGTGCTTTCAAACAGGATAAGGAGGGCTGAGGTTGTGGCTCAGTGGTAGAGCGCTCACCTAGCATGCACCAGGCCCTGGGTTTGACCCTCAACGCCACATAAAAATAACTAACAAAATAAAAGGGTGTTGTGTCTAACCACAAAATAAATATATAAAAAAAAGGGGGGAAAGGGGAAGAAAGAAGGAGGAAGAGGAGGAAAGATATTTTTTAAGTATTTTCAAACTTGATTTTATAAGACATTGATTCTTTCTAAAGACAATCATTGAATTCAAACACTAGTTATCAGCAGATTTTACTAAGTTAAAAATTTTAAATAAGTTTGTGCTCTGTAAAACTCATTATTACTGAGGGTGTTGCTCTCTATCTTTAAAAGAACAAACGTCCCACCAGAGACGCATCTGGTGGGACGTTTAAAGAGAACTTTAAGAACTTTCTCCCACACAATTAGTTTGCTTTTATGTCATGACGCTGTGAAGGGAATCACTGATCATGTTTCCTTCTTCCCAAAAACTTAGAACCAAATCAGCAAGTAGATGTCAATCAGCCTTTGGAAACAGAGCCTCACCTGGCTTTGCGTCACTTCCCCTGTCTCTATTTCCTCTACCTGATTTCCTTCCCTTACATCTACCTTGTGCACTGTTTCTATTTTTGTTAGACACTCCAAATCCTTTTAGGAACCAGGCGGGCCATAAGTGGACACATTTAAAAGGGGGGAAAAAAGAGAAAGTTTTTTTCCTCCAAGCAAATTGAAAACCTGGGAGGCAAGGCATGGAGACAGCCATTGGCTCACTAGGGCACACATTCCCTCCCTGGGCCTCACCTGTGCTGTGGCTGCTGCCATCAGCCTGCAGAGAGGGGACAGAATGGCTATTAGTAGCAGGAAAGCTCCTTGCACAAGTTGTTTCTTGGAATTAGGAAAAGGGAGGAGAGAGAGAAAACTGCCGTCCCAGTTTCCGGGTCTTCTGAGGTGGATCAATGTCTGTCCTCCCCACCTGGAGATTAAATCAGTATCCACACAGCAGGTGACCCAGGTCCAGGCACGTCTCCCTGGTGGTGTCATGCACCAGCCTTTGATCTAGACCACCGGACGCCCCTCTGCTCCGAGGTCTGTGTGACAGGACAGGGGTGTCAGGGCAGCAAAGTACTGACTAGCAGGAGCCCCTGACTCAAGCTTATTTTTAAAAACTGAGAACCTTTATGTTTTGAGCTCCCATTTATCTAATTTGGAGGAGGTAAAAGTGCACCTTCCTTGAGTTGCTACCCTGGAGGGACTTATTTCAACTCCATGGCAGTCTGATTGGGAAGGAATGGGAGTCAGCCATAGAGCAGGGACTGCATGGAATGACCCGCCCCACCAGCCAGTGGTGCCCCCCAGGAAAATTTCCATCAACAGCTCTGTCAGGACTGCAGTGTCAACCTTGACCAGTCACTTCTGAGCCCAGTTACATCCATAATGACACTTCTCCCCTGCCCCCCACCCCCATAGCATGACAGATGAGGGGTTTCATGGAACATGTCCCCGAGCTGTGATGGGAATCCGTCTCGCTCCACTGCAGAAAAAATATATATCCCTGAACAGCTGTGAGGAATTCTCTCATTACTCATCTGCAATCTTATGGCTCGTCCTCGCTTCCTCTTTTTACAATAAAATATGAAAACAGATCCGATGGCATATTCTGACAATGATTGTTTTCAGACCGTGAGTGAGGCTGCTGCGACGGAGCAGGTGGCAGAGAGAACGCTAGAAAGAGAACGGAAGGTTTGTGAAGCCCTGAGTTTGTGAAGCCTTTGTGACCCCCGTCATGAAGAGGGACCATGGGGAATCACAAAGAGAGCTGCCCTTGCAGGGTGGCAGGGTGAGGAGGTGTCCCGGGTGGCTTGATCTGCGCAGGGACCACACAGGGTCAGCTTGGAGCTGGATGCTTCTGTTCAAAAGCTTTTTGTTGGGAGTAATTTACACCATCCAGACATTAGACTGAGGGAGTTGTGTGCAGAGTAGAAGGTCAATGATACCAAAGACAGAAATTTTCACAGGGTAAAGAAGGTGCAGGTAGATGCCCAGAGATCATACACTTGATGTTGTCCACACTGGCAAAAGAAAGTTCTGGGTCTATTGAGAAGATGTACACCCTAGGCCAGAGCCCTCCAGAGAAGCATCTGAAGGTCAGTGTAGGCTAGCAGAGAGATCCTGGGGGAGGAGCAAGTGGTAAAGCAAGTGCTAGAGTAGACCACAGTCAGCGGGGCCAGAGCAGGCCTGGCCAAGTCAGCAGGGCTTAGCTGACCTCCACGGATGGAGCAGCTCCAGACCACCCACACTTACTCTCTCTAGTTTCTGCAGGTCAGATGTCTGCACCCAGCCTGGCTGGTTTCTCTTCTTCAGGGTCTCACAGGGCTGCAATCCAGATGTTGCCAGGGGGGCTGCATTCTTATCAGAGGCTGGACTGAGGGAACATCTGCTTCCAAGCTGTCTCAGGTTGTTGGCAGAATTTATTTCCTTGCCAAAAACTGCCAGACTGCAAGTTTTGGTCTCTTGTTGGAGTCTCACCTCAGCAACTAGAGACGGTTCACAGTTGCTGGCCACATGGGCTTCCCCAGTGTGGCCATTTACTTCCTGGCAGCATGCTCTTTCAAAGTCAGAAACAGAGTTAAGCTGCCAGCGAGATGGATTCTTAACTAATACGATCCTGGGTGTGACCTCCCATCACCTTTGCCACATTCTGCTGGTTAGAAGCAAGTCGCAGTCAGGGGAGGGGATTCCACCTGGCAGTCAACAGCAACAGGGATCATGGGGACATCTTAGTCATGTCTTAAAGGGAGACAACTAGAGAGGGAGATGGAGAGAGAGTGCATGCATAGATTAGAGGATTAAAGGACGTGTTAAATTAAAAGACATCACCTATGAATCTCAACGAATCTCAGATTCTGATCCTCATTTGAATCCCGATTTTTTAAATGCCAAAAGAACCTGATATTTATGAGACAATTGGAAATTTGACTGCTAACTGGTTATAAAATGACTTAAAGGAATTATTTTTAATTTTTAAAGTGTAGTAATTATACTGTGGACTTTTAATTAAGAGCCCTGTCTTTTAGAAATTCACAATGAAATATTAAAGATAAAATGGTATGTTCAAGAGACTTTCTTTAAAGAAAAATGAGGGGATTGGGAGAAGATGGGGGTGTGGATGAGGTAGGATATCTGGAGTTGATGGCTGTGGGGCTGGGGTGGTAGGCATGTGGGAAATTATTAAAATATTCTGTGAACTTTTGTGGGTATTCAAAATCCTCCATAATCTTTTAAAAATGAGCAAGTATTTGCCTTCAGTAGTAATCAGAAACACAGATGGAAAACGTGTTAAAGCCACTTTTTGTCTATGAAATTGCCAGAATTATTTTTATTTTTATTTTTGGTACTGGGGATTGATCCCAGGGTTGCTTTACCACTGAGCTCCAACTCCAGGCCTTTTTATTTTTTATTTTTAGACAGGGTCTCACTATGTTGCTGAGGTTGTCCTCGAACTTGCGAAACTCCTGCCTCCTCCTTCTGAGTCACTGCGATTACAGGTGTGGGCCACTATGCTAGACTCAGGATTTTTTTTTTTTTTCCTAAAAGATGATACCCAATTGCACATATAGGTGAGCTAGAACAGATATTCTGATATATTGCTGTGTGGGGTGGAAGGCATGGAAAATAAATTGGTACACTCCCTGGAAAGCATGTTGGCAATATACATCAAGATTCTTAAAAATGTTTGTATTCTTTGGTATAATAATTCCACTCCCAGGAATTTACTCTTAAAAATAACCTTCAAGATGGGAAATGCTTTTGCACAAAGATATTCACTGCAGGACCAGTAGTAAAGAATTTATCTTTCCCAAATTATAGTCTGGACATTGCCCCCAGCAGCAGGGGGTCATCTTTAGGCCCTCAGCTGGATAGTTCCTGCCTAAAGAGACTGCCATCCTTTGCCTGAGGCTGGGACCACTGGACAGGTTAATGCTATGATTTATGCTGGGAACTTGAGCCTTGAGGTACCTGCTCTACCTCTAGAGGCACCAGAGACTAAGGACAGCCTCAAGGGCAGGCAACGCTGGAGCCCCAGCAGATACTCTGGACACCAAGCTTGAACGAGCTTCCCTGGTCGGTAATGTACTGTGCCCGTTGTAGCACCTCAGTGACAGGGAACCCTCACTGTCTATGGCTCCGTGGGTAAAGGACCACTGGAAACTTCCATGTCTGCAACTTTCCTGGACTTTGCTTTTTAACTTTCTGGTCACCAAGAGATGAAGAGGTCCCTCTACTATGTGGTCCCTCCACAAAGTGCTCAATGTACGTTGCTCGTCTAGCATGTGTGAGGCTCTAGTCCAGTCCCCAGCTGCCACCCCAGGCCCAAAGCAAACCTTTGAAACTATGAGCCAAAATAAACCTTTCTCCCTTTTAAGTTGATTGTCCGAGGTATTTTATCAGTAACATAAAGTAACAGAAAGCTCAAACACGGGCATTTGAGTTTTTTGTTTGTTTGGGTTTTGTTTGGGGTTTTAAAAACACCAACAGTGCCAGGCACAGTGGCACACACCTGTAATCCCAGCGGCTCAGGAGGCTGAGGCAGGAGGATCTCAAGTTCAAAGGCAGCCTCAGCAAAAGCAAGGTGCCCAGAAATTCAGTGAGACTCTGTCTCTAAATAAAATAGAAAATAAGGCTGCGGATGTGGCTCAGTAGGCGAGTGCCCCTGAGTTCAATATAAATAAATGAAACCCCAACAGCAAGGACCTCATTCCTTGAGGGAGGCAGAGGGGTGTTAAATTGATAGCATGTTCAAAACAGTTTGCTAAATATTGCCTCTAGTCTCATGGGCTTCTGTTATTTAGAATCCTGGCAGAGTGGAATGTGAATAAAAACTTTGCTGAGTTCATATCTGAAATGCCCCCGAAAGCCTTGGGGGTCAAAGGCCTGCTCTCCAGTATGGGGCTGTTGGGAGCTGATGGAAATTTTAAGAGGTGGGGCCTAGAGGGAGGTCTTTACGTCACTGGGGGCAGGACCTTGAAGGGGATTGTGGGATTCCCAATCCCTCTCTCTCTCTCTCTTTCCTGTTCCTGGCCATGAGATGAATGATTTGGCTTCACCACATACTCCCACCATGATAGGCCACCGTACACTCAAAAGCAACAAGGCCAATTGATTATGGACTAGGACCTCTAAACTGTGAGCCGTAATAGACTATTCGTCTTTATTAGCTGATTATCTTGGGCACTTGTCATGGCGACAGAAAGCTGATGAACACAACCTTTACTAAAGAAGATGATTTTTGGTGTAAAGTGTTGGAAGGCTGAAGCCCGTAATGAGATGAGACTTGCAAAAAGAGCCCAAGGCATCAAAAATGACTCTTTAAAGTTAAGTTGAGGGTAATAAGAAAAAAAAGATGAGACAGGTTCGCTGTTTAGGAATAGCAGCGATTTTTATCAGAAAGAAGGCAGAACCTCTATACCCCTAATTTGCTTCCATCTTTCCTGTCAAATAAAATCTTTTACCATGAAATGGGTAACAGAAATGATAAGAGGAAATTAAAGCTCCGAGGAAGAGATTATAAACGGGGCCACTTTTCTCTAGCTACACTAATGAATTAAAATCACTTACCTCAATGAATTACTATCCAGGAAGCTGATAACTCTTGCAAATGGCATTGCTAAACTGCTGTCACCATCTTGGAGGCAACCAGGAAAACAACAGCAGATTCTAGAAGATGAAGGTTGATGCACATAACAGACAGATTACAGCTCGGATGAAATGCATTACATTCCACTGGGTATTTTCACACAAACTGTTTGTCCTTACAGCAAAGAAATTTGGATCGAATGAAAGAGTAAATATGACCATAAATGACGGAGACCCACACAGAGGCTTGCGATCACGACGACAGGGTGAATGTAATTAGGCAGTCCACCTTCCAGTTTGGGGAGCTGAGGTTCCAATAGACTTGGCCATGGTTCCAATCTGCAAATACAGGAGCTTATTAATGACCCCCAGATGAAGTCTCCGATTCCAAAGAACATAAATATTCCTAGAAAACAAAGTGGTGATCAGTGGGAAAACGCACGGGTTCATGACAGGGTACACGCACACGTAGCGTCAGAGGGCATCATGTCTGTCTTGGACATGGTACATCCGTATTTCAGCAAAGGCTTTTCAAACCCTTCCCCTATCAGGCTCGAGGCTGGGCTATTCCCGGATGGATAGTGGCAGCTTGAGGTGTCAACTAAGAAAACTGGAAAGTTGTGTTTGTGGGGATAGAAGCCCAGCCCACAGGGGCTGGGCGGGAGCCTGGTTACTATAGAAACTATTATTTTGCTTTGCTTGTAACTCTATTGCTGTAAGCAATTGAGTGTACCTCTCAGGCATTTAAGGGAAAGAGACTTTTCTGGGAAAACACTGTAGAACTCTCAGACCTGATAGGAAAAACGGGCAGCGCAGGATGGGCAGGACTCATTTGGAACTGTCTGGTCACAGCTCTCTCCCTGGAATGCACAAGCCTGTGTTGGCTCGATGAGGAGACAGGGAGACTTAGCTTTAGTAATGATGCTCATCCCTTGCATTTGGAGAAAGAAGTGGAGGGACTTCATTTAAACCTCATGAAGCAAGAGCAGAGCAGAGGAGACTCCCCCCAAACAAAATCAGGTTATTGCTGGAATTGAGGTGAATGAACCACCTTATTGACTTTTTTTTTTTTTTTTGTACCAGGAATTGAACCCAGGGGCACTTAACCACTGAGCCACATCCCCAGCCCTTTTTAAATATTTTATTTAGAGGCAGGGTTTCAATGATTTGCTTAGGGCCTCACTAAGTTCCTGAAGCTGGCTTTGAACTTGTGATCCTTCTGCCTCAGCCTCCTGAGCCACTAGAATTATAGGCGTGCACCACCACACCCAGCTCACCTTATTGACTCTTGAGCAGTGTCCCAAACAGGACAGCTCACTGGGAACACCTCTGCTTCTAGAGTCCATGTTAACCTGCGGGGCACCTCGGAGGGAAAGCACTCCCCTCCCTCCTAATGAGAGTGCTTTTACCATGGAAGCCCCCCACCATGCTTTCGATGGCAGAACTAGATTTTTAAAAAGCTCCTAAAGGTAGATCAACAAACTGATATAACAAGGTAAAACCTCATTGTAGGTTAAACAATTGTAGGGTCTTACTGTAGGGCCAAATAAAACTGAACCATTACAGGTACCGTTTGGAAAAGTATGGCTTTAGCTGTAGCATGCATCGAAAATGCAGAGATTTTAGATTGGAACTATCTCAAAACAATCTCCCAAGACCAGCGAAGCCGGCCTTCAGCTATGCGAGTACGAGCTTGGGAAGCAGAAGCGCATGCTCCCCATGTGCCTGGGCTGCAGGTGGGAGGCCAGGCAGGATCAGGGATGCTACCAAGGAGCTAAGAGGAGACAGGCCCCTGGCATGCTTTCAAATAGAAGTTTTAATGGATGATACCAGAAGGCTTAAAGGGATGCAGTGGGATAGCAAGGAGCTAGGGACCAAGGGTAAGAGATGGGAGTCTACGGAGAGGTCACTACCTAGAAGCACCAGAAAGTAGATTTTTGGTCAGATGTCACCAATGCTTTCTGCAAGTTGAGCTTTCTGACAGCGACGAGCAGCCATGGGAGGCAGTAGCGGTGCTTCACCGTCAAGGAACTGGCAGCAAGTTCCCGGGTAGGTGGGGGACGGGGCTGCACCACAGATTTCAGGCCCCGTCAGCTCTGAATCTCTGTGGTTCCGTCATGAAGCAATGAACACATGGCCTCCTTTGGACTCCAAGTGCAGCCTCCAGCCTGTTAGGAAACATCAATTCATGATGGAACTCAGAAATGGAAGTTCTCGAAAGCCTCTCCTCAGCTGCCATGTTTGATAGTTAGCCAAGCTCCTGACACAAGAGTTCAAAGAAATTGAAGTCTTGTTTTTCCTGATGCCCATGGAGAGCTCGCGGTCACCTGGCTGTGGGCTGCAGCCCTCTGGGCAGAAAGCTTGTCTGAGTCAGTGCCTCTGTCAGGAGACAGATGGAAGCGGCCACATGACCCCTGGTCCCACATCCATTCCACCAAATGGAGAGACATGACAAGCCTTTTATTTTCAGGACAGAGCATCATTGATTATTCCCCGTTAATGCTTCCCCGTCGATGGCAGCCAGGGACGAGGGGGAAATGGAAGGATGTGATATCCGGGCCCCCCGGAGGGAAAATCAATGTGATCTGGTTTGATATTTCATCCTAGGATAACCTCTCCCTCCAAGCGGCTGCCCACGGGCCACCGCTTCCTCTCCACCAACTCCACCAGAGAGCCACGCAGCCGCTCGCCTCACCAGAGCCGGGAGGAGAGGCAGAGAGGAAATGGCTACGGGGGACGATTAAACACTGCTTTCATTTTCTTTTAGGATTTTATAGCCACTAAACACCCCACCCGGGCTTCCTCTGCAGTTTCAGATCAGAGGGGAAGAGCCCACGGAGGCAGCCGAGAAACCCGCGTCTGACTTATTACAGATGCATCCAGCAGCCCGCTCCGCTCAGAGGATGACCTTGGAAAACCGACAGCCTAGAAACTGTATGCCCCTTGGCACGACGCTGACAGTTACAAGAGCAGAGCAAGAGGCAAAGGCTGGGGTGCAGGGAGGTGAGAGGGAAGAGGCAACCTCTCTTTGTGTACACACCACGCGCGCGCACACTTGCACACACACACGCACACATCAAACACCAAAAGAGTCGATGTTCCCCCTTCCCCAGAAGGAACTCAACATTCAAAACAAAACTCTTGAGAATCTTGGATGTGACAGGAAGGGGACGTTCTGTTGCCTCCGGGATCTCAGGGTGAAGAGGAAGCAAAACTACCTAATGATCTTTTCAATGGGGATGCAAAACAGTAACATCCAGGTTCCCAGCGCCAGCCTCAGCCATCATTTCCTGGTTAGGGCTTCCTAACCAGCTTTTAGCCGCTCAGGCCTGCAGCCGCACCGACCACAGCACGCTGTTGCTTCTAGAAACTGCCAGGATTGCCCATTGCTAGCCCCTGAGTGAAGAGGTTGCCTCCGGGGAGGAGAGGGAGAGGTTTTCCCATTTTTCTTGCTCTCCGGGGCCAGGCATCATGGACTGAGCCCTCTGTCTGGGAGAAGCTGTACCAGGTCAACTTTCCGTTTATTGCTTGTAGAGAGAATTAATTCGTGTTTTACACACCTGGCTGCCATGATTTGATAGGGTTTGAGTGTGTCCCCCAAGGGGTCACGTATTGAAATTGAACCCCCATTGTGGTGAATTAAGAGGGTGGAAAGTTGATCCTATTATATTTAAAGGTGGGCCTTTAAGAGGTGATTAGGATGAGACAACATCATTAGGGTTGAGTCCCTACGATTGAATAAATACTGATAACTGTACAAGAAAAAGGCAAGAGACCAGAAAAGACACATACACATACCTCCTGTCTTGCCAAGTGATGCCCTGTGCTGCTCAGGACTCTGCCAGCAAGAAAGCCACAACCAGATGTGGCCTCATTAACTTGCACCTCTGTGACTGTGAGCCAAAGCAAACCTCTTTTCTTTATAAAATTAGCCTGCCTCTGGTACTTTGTTACAGTCATAAAAAATGGAGTAATACACTACCCATTGTGGATAATAATTCTATGAGAGTTCTTACAAGTAGAATTTTGTCCAAAGCAATTCTAAATGTATAGGATCTTTTAATATCTTGAAGCATCGGTCATAGCAGAACATGATCCATTTGATGCTACTCAATTCACAAATAATCTGCAAGGATGCTGCCACTGGGGCTGTGGAATATGAACATCTTAGAATGGTCTGGAGACAGTGTTTCTATGCACCCCGCCCTCAGGGATCCACCTCATGCTTTGGGATCTAACCCATCAGCCACTCATAGTCACTCCCTTGCTGCCTGACTCCTTTATCCACTTCCCACTGGCCAGGCAGGAGCCCAGGTCCTCTGAGATTAGGGGAAGAAGGGTGCTAAAGGCCTCCATGGGCAGCCATGTGTCCCACACCAGGGGTTCTGCTGGGCGGGAAGGGGAAGTTCCTGGATGAGAACAGATGCTGGCCAGACCAGAGGTCAGGAGCCCCATGTGCTTCGCTGTACAAGTTCCTTTTCAAACAACATGTGGGATGACAAATGGCTTCATGACCTGCTGGGAAAGGAACAGCAGGGGCCCTCAGGGATTCCTGAGACAAATGGCCAGAGGACCCCTGAGAGAGCCCAGGAGGAAGCCTCTGGGCAGCACTTCCAGCCCAGGGCCTGGGCTTGGGGTGGGGGTAAGTGTTTGTGAAGCTCTTGCACATTCCCTGGCTTCACAAACACTTATCCAGCCGGTGCCAGTGCCGAGTCACATGCCTATAATCCCTGTGGAGGCTGAGGCAGGAGGATCATGAGTTCAAAGCCAGCCTTAGCAAAAGCGAAGCACTAAGCAACTCAGTGAGACCCTGTCTCTAAATAAAATTATACAAAATAGAGCTGAGGATGTGGCTCAGTGGTTGAGTGCCCTGAGTTCAATCCCTGGTACCCTCCCCCCACAAACACACACACACACACATACACACACATACAATTTGTCAGTTTTCATTAAAAACAACATACTTCCTGGGGAAAAAGCACAATCAAAAGCGTATAGCTTCATGAATTTTCACAAAGAGAACTTGGTCCATTTGTGTTGTTATAATAACAGAAATTGACTGACTCTCAGTTCTAGAGGCTGGAAATTCGACGCTGAGCATTCTGGCAGCTGTGAGGACCTTCCTGCTGCAACCTCACATGGTAGAAGGCAGAAGGGGTTGGACTCAGCCCCACAATTCCCTTTTGATAGTGACATTAACCAAGACATGAGGGTGAAGGCTTCATGATCCAAATATATCTTTTAGGCCCACCTCCCCATATTGGTGCATTGGGCATTGAGTTTCCAACCCATGAGCTGTGGTGACATATTCAGAACATTCTTAAACACATCCCACAGACCAAGGCACAGAGCATTACCTCAATTTCCAGGGTCCTTCTGTACCTGTCCAGTTACTGTTCACACCTATGCACAGGATGACCCTGATTTATCACAGCAAAGTTCAGTTTTGCTAATTGTGCTAGTCAGCTTTCTTTAACTGTGACAAAATTTCTGAGATAAGCAACTTATAAGGAGGAAAAGTTTGACTCCTGATTTCAGAGGTTTCAGTCCATGTTCACTTGGCCCTGTACAGTACATAATGGCGGGAAC